TAACATTTTTAAAGATAAAGGTAAAAATGCCAGGCTGCTGTTGGGGACAGCTGCCTTAAACTAACTTGGAGTCGTACATTGGCTCCCCTGTTCCCGAGACCTTCCTGATCTCCCTCACAGCTGAGCTCCGTGGTGGCAGGAGCCCTTAGCTGTTCACTGGAAGAAGCTGAGCAAGGACGGATGATCAACACTGGCCTAGTGATGTCTCTGCTGCCCCTTTCACCTTCATTTCTCCAGACCAACCTCAGGCAAAGGCCGGCTGTGTTTAGGGGGGCCCTTTGCCCATGTGCAATCACAGCACTTCTGTCCCTCTCAAAAGGGTCTTGGTTTGGACAAAAATTGTTTGATATCCTTACCTGTGTAAGTTTACAATGGTTTGATGCAGGCTGCCCACGAGGTGGCGATGTCTCCACCAGAAAGAGCATGCTGGAGTGGGCTGCTTACCCATAGTCCCTTGCCAAGGGAACTTACCCTGGTGTCTTAGTTCATCCCCAGACAAAAGTCTGAGGAACTGGGAGCTGCCCATCTGAGGCACAGGAGGGCAGGTGGCTGTCTCCCTCACACTGAACAGCTCAGGGGCTGGGAGTTGTTGCAGGAGCGTCATGAGGGGGCAGTGGCAGCATGAGAACCACTTCTGGCCGTGCCAAGCAGAGGGGAGCAACTTTGCCAAAGCCACGTCTCTCAGTTGGGAGAGGAGGATGGACAACACCATTGCTGGCAAACTGGGGGCCCAACAGGGAGCGCCAGGGGCTCAGCAGGAGCACAGACGCCAGCACAGAACCCACACAGGGCAGCCCCAAGTTCCTGCTCCAGCTGCAATAGGGAGCTATGCCCTAACTTGCTTTGGATTCTAGGATCCAGGGAAGAACAGCTTTGGGATGAGCAGGTTCTCCGGACTCCAAACCAGTTTAGAATCCCCTGTGAGGGCTCCCTGCAGGAGCACAGGGAAAGGCTTCACACGTGAATGCAGTCAGATTGCGGGCCTGGGGTCACAGGTCTGGGTTCAAATCACAGCCCACTGTGTGGCCCCCACAGACAAGTTACTACACTTCTCTGTGCCTCGGATTCCTCATCCATAAAACACACGTCCCAGCAGAACTGTTAGTGTTTGGACCTCAAGTGTCCCCCAGGGCTCATGTGTTCAGAGTGGGGCTCTGGGAGGTGAGTGGATCCTGAGGACTCTAACTCCATCCAATACTGGATCACCCATTACGGTGGCCGTGATTTGGTGGCATTATTGGGAGGTGACAGAAACTTAGAAGGGAGTGGATCAGGGAGTGTGGCTTGAGGGACTACAACTTGTCCCTGACCCTGTCCTCTCTGGCTTTCTGTGCTTCCCAGCTGCCTGGGTGAGCAGCCTCCTCCTGTGCCCTTGAGCTGTGATGTGTCTGCCTTGGAGCTGCCGATCACCAACTGAGACTGAGCCAAAAGACGTCTTTCCACCTTTAAGGTGACCTGTATCAGGCATGTTATCGCAGTGATGGATAACACCCTGACCTCATGAGGTCATCGGGGGATTAAATGAAGTGCTTTGGATTTAGAGGAGATGCTCACAACAGTGCTCAATACATTGAAGCTCCATACGAGCTGCTATTGAAATTTCTAAGTCAGGTCCAGCAATCTCGTGGGAGGAAGACATGTTGGTCTTGTGGGTGCCTGAACCTGTGCCCATGGTCATGGTTAAGGCCAAGTTCTCACCACTCTCAGACACACAGCCACTTGCCCAGGGACCTATTGATGAGCACTGAATTTTTCTTCCAAGGTGAAGAAAGAGAAGAGGAGATTACCAGCAAATGCTAGCAAATCCCAGCACCTGTGCCCTAAAAATGTACTTGCTTCTGAGTAGGATGGAGCTGTGGACCAGAGCACAGGATGAACCAGTAGCATAAGAATTTGAATTTAAGGTAACATGCAGGCTTGTGCCACAGGGGAACCTCTGCCTGTGTGACCCTGGAGAGCCCCAGTGGCCACATCTGTGACAAGGGGACAGTCACAGACTCAGCGCCACAGTTTGGTTAGATGAGGTATGACAGCAGTTAGAGTGCTTGGGACACAGTAGCTCTCCATGACCAGTAGCTGCTGCTGCAGTTGCAGTAATATACAGCACACAGTGACATGGAACATGTATGATCACTGTCAATGCTTGAGCCACTTTTCCTCATGGAGGATGGACCCGGCCACATTCCCAGGGACTCAGCATGAAAGGTCAGCACCAACCCAGAATGTCAGAGAGAGGGGGTCAGAGCTGAGTCAGCACATGTCACCCCCAGAAGAGAGAAATCAAGGCCACCAGTCCCCTGGGCTCCTTACCAGCCCCCGGGTTCCTTGGAGACGTTGTGGATGAGGGCACCGCGGCAGAAGCTTAGCTCATCGCTGCGCTTGGCTTTGTAATCGTACAGAGCTTTCACAGTTCTCTGAGGCTTTTGGGGAAAACAGAAAGGAGAAGGTCAGGCAGATGACAGGGCCCTGGAGACTACATTGCTGGTGCCATTTTCTTGTCATTTAGCGGCAGAAGACAGCAGAGGTTGGGCTTCTCGTGCCTTCTGCTGGCGAGGACCGGGGACTGCAGAGCCCCGCCCCCCCACAAAGTCCCCAGGGGGAATAGGCGGTGAGTTGACTGGCCTGGTCAGCCAAAGGCACCTGAGCATGAGAGAGCTGCTTGAGTCTCTCAATAAACAAGAGATTTGTCCTTCAGATGAAGCCACAAACACGAACTCTGAAGTCCTGAGGGGCTGCCATCCTCAGCTCCCCAGAGGTTCAAGGACAGCTCCAAGTCTGCCCTTGACTTGTGCTGGAACCTCGCCACTATTCTGACCTGGGCCAATTTTCTGCTCTGCCAGACCCTGCATTCTGCGAGAGCTGCTGAAGTGCTCCTCCATGTAATTCATTACAGGTGGGCTCGGGGTGGGCAGGACAAGACAGATAATTCTCAAGATACAACTTCAACGCATCTTCCTGCTGCCGGGCAAGCATAAACCATGCCTGAATGCACACCCACATGGCAAGAAAATATTGAGGGGGGCATCACAAATCATCAAATTACCTGAATCAGCGGTTTCTCTCTCCTTCTACCCAAAGGAAATGGGAACAGGAATTCACAAGGAGTCAAGAAAACCACTCCCCAGAGATGGGCAACAGAGTCAGTCACAGGCTCAAATCACAGCACTGCTCCTTCCTACCTGTGTAAGCTGGAGGCTCTCTGAGTCTCATCTTCCCCATTTGTGAAACAGGAATTAAGGCTTTATTTATTGCCAGGACCGCTGAGACTATTCAATGAGGTAATTCATGCAATGACCAAAGTGACAAGGACTTGAGTTCCTTATGTTCTCACCAAGGTCAAAGCCCTTCTGTGACCTTTTTTACCTACAGCATCTCCTGTAATCCTCGCAACTGGACATGGAGGGACCAGCCTTACTGCCCCCATTTCACAGGTAAGGAAATGGTATAGGGAAGCAACACAGCTTTCCTAGGGTGACACAGGAGGTAAGTAGCCAGGCCAGGAACTGAACTAGTTACATGAGTTGTCACCATAGTTCACAGTGTTCCACAGAAAGCACTGCGGGTTCTCTGCTGTGGGGACTTCCAACTTGAATCCCCTCACCTCTGCCTTCCCTTCTCTCCTCCGCCTGCAGAAGGGATGGATTCTACCATCGCTTTGCACCCAGAATGGATACAAAGACCAGAGCCTGGCTCTAGGCCACAGGCAGAGACAGCTGTGGCAGAGAGGATGCCAAACATAGTGACTTCAGTAAGGACAAGATCTCCAGCCTGTCATATGGCAAGAGACGTCCTCATACGCAGCAGTAATAGGCCTCCCACCATATCACCAAATGTCCGTGGGGCTTAGTGAGGTGACAAAGAGGACACATGTTAGAGCCAGCCTGCCTCTGCCCAGATTCCAGCTCCATATCACAGCTGTCCTCAGCAGTTATTTGACCTCCATATACCTAAATCTCCTCCTCTGTACAGTGGATACCAAAACAGGACCTGCTTTGTGAAGTTATAGGAGGATTAATTGGCTACCCATGGCCAAGTGCTTAGAACAATGCCAGTTGTGTGACCATTAGCACATGGCACCTATTATCACTGGTCTGCTCCTTCCAGTGCTAAAAACCAACTGCAGCGAGAAAGGCAAAATTCCTATGTGCGTGAGAAGTTCCTTTTAATTGTCAATGACCATTGACAGGGAAACAGCTAAGCTAGCAGAATAACCAAAGTATTCTTCAGCATGAAAACCATGTCAAAATCCCAATCTACACATCTCATCTGAATTACCCAACCTCCCAGGTTTGACAAAACAGCCATCACGATTCCCAAGGGGAAGACTACGGGGACAAAGTAGCAAGCAACAGAGGAGAATAAAACTGGCAGGTATGGGGGAGGGAGGAAGAGCAGAGAACAAAGACTCCAAAATGTACCAACTACTTCTTAGGATGGCAAGGCCGTGGCCAGTTCTTTTTTCCTTTTTCCAGTGTGCTTTTTAAAATTGTGACTGCACTTTTCTAAATGACAGTAATAATGTTACTTTGAGGTCCTCATTCTAGCCTGGCAGGTAGACAGAAAACACAGCATACACTCATGTTCTGAGGGGCCCACTAGGTTTTTTTCTACAGCCTGGTTTACGCACCATAGTTTTCACAGCGGAAGATTTCGTATAAAACATTTAGACTTCTAGCTTGGTCTGAGAAGTCACAAGACCTGGCCTAACACGCGCTGAGGATATCTACCCTGAGGCGGAGGGGTGTTCCTCAGATAATCATGGTGATCCGCACTCCTGCCATCAGCTGACATAAGGCCAAACGCCAGCTGCCACTTGTCAGCAAACTTTCACTCTTTGTCATTGCCATAGCCAAATTGAGAGTGAGAGGTATTGCTCCTGCCTGAAGAGCTCCACTCACCTGTGTTATGTGCCTGACCTTGGGACATCTGAGTTGGCAGCCCTGTTTTATGCAATTATGTTAAAAGGAAAGGAGAGAAACCAAAGCCCTTCAAAATAAGCTCCAGCTACCCCACCCTTACTGAAGACAAAGATACAGAATCTGCTTGAAGTTCCTCCTCAGGGCCCCACTTAAATCTGCAAAACCTCTACCTGGGGAAGAGGCGAACTTCCTCATTACCCAAACATTCCTCACTTCCAATAAAAGAATTTGCTACTAGCAAAAGCTCTTTGTACACAACTTGTGAAGGATTCATTTCTTGCTGAAGATTTGCATTGGCCAAGGACTATAAATTTTTAAAAATGTCTGTATTTCAACAGAACCCATCAGCAAAGCCCATTGCTAAACGAGTGTTGTATAATTATTGTGGGCCAGATAGAAAATGTGCTATAGTTTTTCCTCCACTGGCTCAGAGTAAATTTGAAACAAAACCATGGTGAGGAGGAGGTGGGAGCTAAAACCAAAATCCATCCTTACCTGCATGAAACTCCACAACAGAGACAGGGTGAGAATCTGAGATAGCATTTGCATTGTAAGGAGGCCCATGAACCAGACAGAATTTTTCAATACCACGGGTTCAGTCAGCAAGTGAAAAACCTTTGTAAGACTTAATTGGAAGCCATTTGGCCCAATACTGGCTCATCAAACCTGAGAATTTTAGCAAAACACAGCTGCATTTGGATGGAATTCTATTAAGATTTTCCCTGAAACTGTATTTACTACAGTTGCCAATTATTTCTTCTTTTAAAAAATTTCTTTTGAAGGCTGGGTGTGGTGGCACATGCCTGTATGCCAGCACTGGGAGGGTGAGGCAGGAGGATTGCCATGAGTTCAAGGCCAACCTAGGCTACATAGTGAGTTTGAGGATAGCCTGGACTACATGGCAAGACCTTGTCTTAAAACAAAACAAAACAAAACAAAACAACTTTTTGTGACCAAGTTTTCCAGAACGTTCTCTTGCTGTGTTGTAATTGCTATGGAGCAAAGGGGCCTGGAATCCACATTAATCTAGTGATAATAAGGATCAGCACCATACCATGGAAGGGTTGATCTCACTTGGATCCACATACATCCTACTGACGTCATACAGGGAGTTTATGTCTCTTTCCTGAAAAAAGAACAGAGAGAGGTCAATGGAAAAGCCCACCTCACCCAAAACTACCTGTGCACCAGCATGGCTACTTCCGGTTCCCTGTCCTTTGATAGCCTGAAACCTCATGAGTTGTCTGTGCCCCATGGATAGACAGCAAGAAGCAATAAAGAACTTTCTCCAAATTTGGAAACTCCCCCAAATCAAAAAGGCGTCTATGCTGGCACTGTCTGTTCCTCTGGGAAAATATAAATCCAAAGCTCCTGCTACATCGTAGAGTGAGCTCACAGCTTGCAAGAGCCCAACTGTGTGCCTCTCCTGCTGATTCCACATTCATGGACAGGACACAGGAGCTTGTGATGGGCCACCGAGCCACTATGGCAGTAGTGGAACACAAACTGGTAAGTGCCACCCATCAGGGCCTTTCCCCAGAGAGCTGTTCACACAGTCACCAGCATCCTGCTGCTCAGCCCCTTCTCCGGCTTCTGCCTTTGAGCCCCACATCGTCCCTCCCCTGCCTTCCTATTCCCCTTCAGGGCCATGCCAGTGCACTCCCTCAACAACCAGCCGCATCTCCTTCCTCACTTCCCCAAGGCCACTGACATTTCTGTCCTCAAAGGTGGTCTATGCTGACCACCCCGAATGTACTTGGTGCCCCTTTATCTCATACCACCCAGTCTTGTTTGCTTCACTAGAATCCCCACTGGCTGAAAACACCCCACTTCTGTCACTGTGCATTTTCTCTCCTCTCTGGGACCTGAAGTTCCCAAGGCACACGAGAACATATGTTCTGGCATATGGTTGAGGCCCAACAAATCTCTTTTTCATAAATGAATGAATCCATCTGGTAGGAAGTGAGATACAATAACTATATCAGGTCTCCTCCTCTAATAGAATAAAAGCTAATGCCTTCAAGTGGCCTAGAAGACTCTACATGATCCAGCCCCCTTTGGACCTACAGTCTTCCTTAGGTCTATCCTCACCCAGGCTCACTTTATTCCAGCTGTTCCAGCTTCATGTTAGGGCCTCAGGCAGACTTCATCTCACCTCAGGACCTTTTCATCTGCTGTCCTGTCTTCCTCTAGATGGCTACAGGCCTCAGTCCTCAGTGAGATCTTCCCAAGCCTCTTGAAAACTGTAACACTTTCCCCATCATTCTGAATCCACTTATCCTCCTTCCCAGTTTTTTCTCCTTAGCATTTATCACCATCTGCCACTTACTATGCAGTATTTTCTTTTTTACTGTCTGTTTTCCCCAAGCTAGACTGTAAACAGTATGCAAGCAGGGTATGTGTCTAATGCCTCTAATTTTTGTGTCCCCAGGACCTGGAGGGGAACCATATACACATCAAGTACTCATGAAAGGTTTGCCCAGTGAAGGAGCCAAACCACAGGCTCAGAACTACCTACCATATTGTAGCGCTCAAGGAGCTCGGGAGTCACAGGGTAGCGGAGCCGCATCTTTCGATAGAGAGTGTGTTTCTCGTAGTAACTGACGAGCTCTACCAGGCTCTCAAAGTAAGCAGACGTCCCTAGCACAAAGTGGCGGCCATCTCGGTTGATGCGACAGTGTTTCACCTTGCCCCTGGCCCTGGAGGGGGAGACCACATCAGGTGACATGCTGAAATTCTAGTGGCCATGGAATTGCTGTACACCTCCAAGTGTATTGCTATACACCAGACACAAGCTAATTACCCCTCCTCCAGGAGTAGGGGAATAAACAGAGTGCAGCCGTCCTCTGGAACACAAAACAGCATTTCTAAAAATCTGGTCTTTCTAAAGGAAATCTAGATGAGTCAGATGAGACTCAAGGCCAGTTTCTCTGTAAGGACAGGGCTTGACCCTGGGAACATCCTGGGCATCTAGAACAGGGCTGGCAAATTATGGCTCTGAGACATATCTGGCTCACTGTGTATTTCTGTAAATAAAGTTGTGTTGAAACAGCCACCATTCATTTGTTTTACAGAATAGCCACTTTCTCCCTAAGACAATAGATGTGGATAGTTGCAACTGAGACCATGTGACCTGCAAAGCTTAACCTATTTACCTATAAGCTTTTACAGAAAAGATTTACTGATCAGTACTCTAGAACTCTCTTTAAAGATTCCAAAATCCATAAATTTTGTCTTCCATAGCCAGAACTGGTAATAATGAAATTTCTTTTCAAAAAGGTAACAAGGCCAAGCAAGGTGGTGACTACCTATAACCTTAGCTGACATAGGAGGATTTAAAGTTCCAGGTCAATGGGCAGTTTAATTATACCCTGTCTCAAATTTTAGGAAATAAAAAAGGGCTGAGGATATAACTCAGTGGTATAGCACTGGCTTAGCATGTGCAGGACTCTCAGTTCAATCAATACAAAAAAAGAAAGAAAGAAATGGAGGGAAGAAGAAAAGGAAAGGAATGATTTTGAAAGAAGAGGTAGGACAGAAAAACAACAGCATAGCCCCATGTACCACTCACATAAAGCTCTGTTAAAAGTTTAAGGTGATGGATACGCTAATTATCCTGAGTTAATCACAACCTAATGTATAAATGAATCAAAACATCACACTGTACTTCATAAATATGTATCAATTTAAACATTTCTTAAGAAGAACTAAAGAAACTTGGCAAGTTCAAAGAGGATGTGACCCAAAAGATGATGGAACTAACATACAACCTGACTAACTTGGATATGGGAGAAACAAATAAAAAATCGGAAGAGCTTACCAAAATGGTTAAAAACATCTATGACAAATTTACCAACGACACAGACTCCATGAATATGTACCAGGCAGAAATACCAAACATAAAAAGTAGAGAATTTATGAACTATAAAATGTGAAGATAGGGTTTCTGAAGTCTAGGGTGAAATGGAAAATCATGACAAATTACTCAGATAAATCTTAAAAGGATAAGAACACATAAATTTATCCAGCAGCTACTAGATGACACTAAAAAGACAAATTTAAGGATAATGAGAAATTAGAAAATTCCACACACACAATAAAACATCTGCCTGTAGAAATTATAACAAAATGTTCCAAGTATAAGGAAACACCTCAACATACAGGTAAGTGAGGCTTACAGAACACCAATTAACTATGATGAAAAAAAAAAGCTACACACAATGCATCATACTAAAAATCCATGATGTCCAATAAAAAACCCAGAATCTTTCTTGTCTGTTTTTTGAGACAGGGTCTTGTCATGTATTGCAGGCTGGCCTAGAACTCTTGGCAGTCCTCCTGTCTCATCCTCCCAAGATCTAGGATTACAGGCATGTACCACATGCCCAGCAAAACAATATTAAAACTATCAAAGAAAAGTAGAACATTATGTATAAAGTAAACTGATCAAGAATACAGTAGAGTTCTCAACACAAATTAAAAAGGCTAGGAGAGCTTAGAGTGAAGTGTTACCAGCTCTAAAATCAAACCATTTCCAACCCTGATTAATATCCTGCAAAATTATCTTTCAAAATTGATGCAGAAATAAGGATATTTCATTACAAGAACTAAGGAGATACATGAACACCAACTAGGAGTCAAAAGATATATATTTTCAAGAACATCCTAGACACAATGAAGCCAACAAAGCAAAAAAATCAGAATAAATGTGTCAAAGCAACACAAATAATTAAACAAAAAACTATATGGGCCATCAATACAATGACAGGAATAAATTAATGCTTCTCAATAACAACTCTCCATGGCCTCAATTCCCTAATTAAAAGACATTGGCAGACTGCCATTAAAGAAGGAATCCAACAGTCTGCTGCACTGAAGAAACTCATCTAATCCAAAAAGAAGTTCACAGACTGAAAATCAAATGGGTTCAAACCCAGCCTCTGCTGTGTGCTTCTGTAAATGACTTCTTCCCACTGTGCCTCAGTTTCCACCTTGGAAAAGCACAGAGAATACGAATGCCACAGAGCTGACAAAGGTGGTAGGAGCTGACACAGAACACCACTGTGTGTGTCTGGAACATACCGGTGTGGGCTGCTTTGGCCTTCACTGCTGTTGTCACACTGCTGACACCCAAAGCTCCACCCTCACGCTCACACTTGTCCTTCCCACACTGCCCTGGCAAGTGTGCATTCCGCCGGGTGCCTACCTGAAGGTGATGGCGTAGGAGTCCTCCATCCCTTCCTGTTTCCTTTCCCGCTTCCGGATGAGGAATGCTCCATCTCGAGGAATCCTCATCAGCATGTCCTCCGCCTCCCCACGGCTCAGCCCATCATAGTACCACCTGCCCCGGGCAGGAAAAGAGCCAGGTAAGAGTCTTCAAGACTGCCAGGAGCCACTGCAGGAGACAGAACTGTGGGCTCCAGGGAGAACCAGGATATGGCCCTGGAAACAGCCACAGGAGTCACACTAGGGACCTGTCATGCTGCGTTCACCCCCACAGACACTGGTTTCTGAAAAGAAGCCTGGAGACCGAGTGGATCTGGGCAGAGGACAGAGAATAAATCCACTTATCCTCACCCACCTCACAGGCCACCTCCGAGGGGGCCTATTCCCATCTCTGGGAAAATCAAGGTGAATACATGCAAGTTTAGAAGGCATTTTTTTGTTACTATTTTTAGTTATTTCTTAAGATGTAATATAGTACATTTTTAGCAATCCATATGAAAATAGAGAAAATATAAAAACTGGAACTTGCCCTGAGTCATTTGGCTTCCTTCAAAATACAAATTTTAGCCCAGGCCTTGTGGTGCATGCCTGTAATCCCTGCACTTTAGAGGGTGAGGCAGGAGGATTGCTGTGGGTTTGAGGCCAGTCTGCGCTACACAATGAGCCCAAGGCCAACCTGAGCTACATAGCAAGACTATGTATTTAAAAAAAATACAAATTTTAGTGATCTGGTTAAGAATTATTTCTTCATTTCCACAATGTTTTCATCATCTGCAAAACATAACTTGAAACTCGCTTCATAGCACAAAGAAACGAAGGGGGCACTCTTGTTACCCTTTTCTTTTCCTAATCTCTGTCAAATAGGAAGCAGCTTGGACAAGCAGAAAGAGCACAGGGCCAATACTAAACTCTGAAAATCAAAGCCTGAGACCTCAGGACTGTGAAGGCAAAGCCAGAAGGGAAGGCGGGAGGAGAGGAGAGAAGGAGACAAAGGCAGGCAAAGCTGATGGCTGGCAGGAATCTGACCACAGGCCTCCCGGGAGCTCTAAGTCTCTAATGGGCCAGTGTCAGGGACAAGGGGCCAGGCATGTGACCACGTGGGTGTCTGCCTCCCACTTAGCCCAGGACCTACGGCTTGGACTCATGTGGGTTCGGGTTGGGCACCGGGTCTGTGAGCCGCAGCTCGAACTCGGCACAGCGCAGGTACGACTCGCGGTAGTGCTGGACGAGGTCGTAGATGCTGCTGAACTTGAGGTTGTCAGTCAGGTAGTACTTCATGGTCCCGTTCTCCACGGTGGAGCGGATCAGGCAGTGCTGCACGCGGCCCAACCGCCTGCACAACAGGGGTGTCACTGGGGCTGAGCGAGGTGTGGCCAGCTGCACACCGCCCTGCCAGCCACCTGCTCCCCCCGCCAGCTTCAGGGTGGGAGGTGTTACCAGAAGGACAAGGTGTAGGCATTTGGGTGGCTCTCGCTCTCCCGCACCAGAAAGGTGCCATCCTTGGCCCCCGCCTCAGCACAGTACTCCTGCAGCAGCCTCTCCGCACTCGTCCTCTTCTCCATCTTCTTGTGGAACCATTTCTCCCCCAAATGCAGCTCTATGGCTGGGACGTCCTAGGCCACGGTGACAAATGGGGCTTCTGAGAGCTCCGCTGCCTCCCCTGCCCACCATTTTCTCCAGACAATGACTGTTGTCAAGGCCTCCTGGAGTTCTGAGACTCCCCAACCTCCATGGGGCCATGGATCCCCAACAGAGACCTCAATTCTAGCGTATAGGAACTCAGCCGTGCCATGGCTTCTGAAAATGGCCAGTGGCTGGAGGGGACAGGGCAGGAAAGCCAGAGCCTAGGGCAGGCGATGGGGCTAGACAGCGCATCCACATAACCCAGGGTGCATAGGCTAAGGCCTTGCAGGAAAGGGCCTTGAATCTTATTGGATAGGCACCAGAGGCAGCCAGCCAATCAGAGAAGAGCCAGCCAGGCCCTGGTACCCAAAGAGGTAGCTATTAGGGCTGAAGATCCCCACACCAGCCAGCCTCAGGACAGGAGAAGTGACACAGGAGTCTCAGCCAAGGACGGGCCCAGGTCAATGAGGCAAGAGCAGCTGGTCTCCTCTTACCTGGGACAGTTCCTCCTCCACAGCCTGCTCAATGTCATCACTGAAGGACAGCTTGGCATCGGCAATGGCGCAGTAGTGCCGAGTCCACTTCTAGAATGCAAAGCTGGCATTAGCCTCCCCCAAAGTCAGCCACATCAACTCAGTGCCTGGGACCCTGCAGGGCATCACCTCAACTTGCACTGGGGACTCCCCTCTCCCAGCTTCATATGCTTATAGTGATTTCATGGAATTTGTTCCCCTTTGAGACATTTCCTTTTGAAAACATTTAATTGCTGGCTTCTTTTGTCATTTCAGGACTGTTACAATCAGTATGTCTAAGAACAGACTCAACTTAATTCTGAATTTCCACTGCGTATTTAATCTGCAGCCATTTATGAAGAATGGGATTATTTGGGGCACTCTCCTAACTATCTTATCCAATTTCATCTGTTTTTTTAAGACTTTCTGGATTTTTCAGCCAGTTGTTCTCAAAGACTTTCTGAAACATTTAATTGTGACCTAATTAATTACTTAAATGTTAACCATTTTTGCATATATTTTATTTTTATATTTTTACCCAGGACATATAAACAGATATGCAAAAATACACTCAAATGTATTAACATGCTAGGCTAAGGGATAGGAGAAGGCAGTAGAGTTTGAAATACCTTTCTCTCCTCAAAAACTAAGATTTTTGGTGGCGCTGTACCACCTTGGGAGTCACTAGTGAGGTGGGACAACTAAATGCATGTGGCATTTTGGACTGAAAGAACGGCATTAGCAAAGAAAGTGGTAAAACAAGGTCTGTAAATGGGCTTATGAGATTATACCACTGACACCTTTCTGATGACGGTAATTCCACCGTGGTTCCATAGGATGTTCTTATTTGGGGAAGCGAGGTGGAGGGTACATGGGAATTTTCTGTACTATTGTGTGGGTGTAAGTGCCTATTATGGTGCACATAGAATTATTTCAAAGTGAAACATAAATTATGCAGAAGAGAAAGGTTAATGATGAGGACGCATTCACTTGGCTCAGTGGGCATGCTCCAGGACGTTCACAGGGCTCTGCAGTGGAGTCTAAAGGGGCTGGGAGGCCAGCATCCATAGCAGGTGTGGGAAGGGACCCAGGCCCACCTGGTCGATGGAGTCCCACATGTACAGTTCACCCTGTTGCTTCTGCTCATCTTTCTTGTCCTCCACGTTCACATCCACATCACCTCGGGGGCCCAGCTTCTTATGCTAAGAAAAAAATGCATATGGCCTCTCTTGAAACCCAAGTTTCAGGGTCTTCAAGCCAGCAAAAATGCACAATCATCTGCTAGCCCACAACATCATCTGTATTTCATACCTTGGCAACTTTGCTCCACCGCCACTCCCTCTGCCTGGCTCCCCTCTCAGCATACTGGACCCTGCACCTGGGCCCCCTCCTCAGAGGAGCTCTCCCTGCCTCTCGGTGCAGCAGCTGAGCTCACCTTCCCGCCCTTGCGGCTCTCCAGCCTAGCTCTGCTTTACCTGTTTGTCTTCTGTCTTCTCTGCAGGACTCTAAGCCCCAGGAAGGCAGGGACACTGCTTTTCTCCTGCTGACTGGCTATGCCGGGGCAGCGCCCAGCAGACAGTGAGTGCTCAGTGGGCACGCAGTGGGCCCAAGAATGGAGCGGGCCAGGAAGGTTGGCGGCAGACACTAGGGGTTCAGCACAGCAGCCCTGCTCTGTCATGTGCGCCGTGTGACCCTGGGCAGGCGGCCATGCTCTCCAAGCCTCACCTGCCTGGCCTGCACAACCAAGGCAATGATGCCAACACTCGCCCAGCTCAGAGCTGACACTGCCTCAGCAAGCACTGAGGAGCTGGGGCCGAGGAAGCCCTGGTCAAGATAACTCGGGCCTGGGAGTTAGATGTGGGCTCGAATTCAGAGCCAAGTGACAGTATGAGTCTCAGTGACCTGTCTTGGGAAGATCCCATAAACTGGGCTGGGAAAAGTAAGTGTAAAGAGTGCAACAGGCCCCACATGTCGTCGGGGATGGCATGGCGGCTCAGGCAGGGGACACGGTCCTCAGAGGCAGATATGCATGGGGGGTCTCCTCGGGAACAGTGTGACCTCAGTTCAGCTGCTTAACCTCCAGCCCTCAGCGTCCATATGTGTGAAGTGGCTTGGCGGTGGGCTGGGGGCATCCATCTTGCAGAGTCGTGGTGACACTGACTGGGAAATGTTATGCCTGTACCTTGCCCAGTGCGTGTGCCGCACACAGTCACTCTGACACCTGCCGCTGGCACCCTCTGCTGGAATGGAAAAGGGAGAGTCACAGGGACCAGGAACGGGGCACCAGGGGCTCCAACAGGGCCTTGGGACTTCATACACCAGAATGAGAGCAGAAGCAGCACCAGGAATGTGCACAGGGTGCTAACTGAAACAGGAAGCCGTGGACGAGCTGCAAATGGGAGCAGATGCCACTGGAGCACCCTCAAGCTTTGTGGTTCCAGCGCCTGAAGGATCCAGGCACTCACAGCCCAGCTCTTTCCCCATCCTGCCCTGGCCTTGCAGGGAATATCCCTGCTTCTCACAGGGACCTGCTCCAGGAGCTGGGCATCTTGCCCACTCTCTCCCAACAGGCTGCCTTCAGCCGCCGGGCACCAACACCCCGTTCTCTGTGGGCTCGGCCAAAGCCCCCACCCACTGTCTGCTGTTTCTCTAGTGACGTCTCCCCATGAGACCGTGACCTCCTGGATCACAACGATTTTCCCAGTGGATTCTGGTGGCCTAGTAACCATCGGGCCATGGGCCAGTGCTGTCACCACCATATCCTCATGTATATTTCTCCAACATGGAAGGGCACCCTCTTCTCTGCGTGGTGCTGTAGTTGACATGTTTGTGTCCCCTCAAAATCATGTTGCAGTATCCTCCCCCAGGGGACGGTGCTAGGGGCCTTCAGGGAGGTCAGTAGGTAGGGGTGCAGACCTCCTGAGTAGGGTCAGTGCTCTCTGCACAGAGGCCCCAGAGAGCCCCATCACCCCTCCTTCCACATGAGGACACAGTGAGAGGTCCGGGTCTATATGCAGAAGGGACCTTCATACTGGCACTGGACCCGGAACTTGGCAGGCTCCAGAGTGGTGGGAAATCAGCTGGTAGTGAACAAGCAACCTGCTAATGGTATTTCGTTATATCGGCCCCAACAGGTGTGAAGGTGACCAAGATACACCCATATGGGCCTGTCCATCCTTCCCTACGAGCCTGCCGACTGTCCAGTGAAGCCATGCGGCCTTCCCCAAATGGCCGTGGCTCAATACTTCAGACTCCATTTCAGGTCCTGTGGCTGAGCCCTCATGACAGACACAGAAGGGACAGGGACAGCTGGTGTCCACTTGCTTACCCGAGATGACTGGCCCCAGACACTCCAGGAACCCCTTCTTGCAAACTGGCTCTCGGAGGTGCCCGAGCCCAGCTGTACCCCACACAAAGGCAATGCCCTGGAGCACACAGTCCTCGCCATTTCTGTGCTGTGAAATCTGGGGAACACCACAGCCCCTTCTCAGAGGTCGGCAATGCGCACGATGATGGGGGAAGTCGGTTATGTTGAAATACAATTATTAAGATTAAATACAGTAATTGGAATGTGCTTCCTCATGAACCGACCTGCTTCCTCATGAACATCTTAAACACGATGCAGAGGCAGATCTAATAACAAATTCCCAAGCACTGATGGGCACAGTGTTATTTTGAGATATCTGCAACAAGTGTAAATGCGATACGAAAATACCCCGACTTCCGCACACAAGGTCCTCGTGGCTGCCAACCTTTGCAATGGAAGGAAATGTTCACTTTTACATACAGCGCAATGAAGATAAGATGCAAGCCTTTTCCCACTCCACGTCACATCCCCTCCACTCCGAATTCTAACCACAGGTTCTTTGAGGTCTGCGGGACCAGAGTTGAAACCCCTGCCTTGGGAGATGGTACAACAGGATGTGAGGACCCCAGAGCCCTGAATCCCCTGTTGGCCAGAGCTCACACGTCCTAGAACATTTGCCTTTCTTGAGGAAGACATAAACTCACACCTCCTATAAACCACGGCACATCTGGTCTCTTCAGCCTGATAATACAAATTCCCCATTGCTCCTTTGGCTTCCCTGAGGCCTGGTACCATGAGGTATCTCTGCGACAGCACGGGAACACCTGTCCTCCCACCCAGTGCTGCTCACGGCCCTTTCCTGCACTGTCCGCCTCCCACACTAGCCCGGGAGCTGCGAGGACATGAACACCAAGGTATGTGGTGAAGATCCGTCTGAAATAAATGAACAGTTGTGATTTGGTAATTCCATTGCCCCCGCCACAGACAGCATGGCACCACGCTGAGCACATGCCCACAGTCAGCTCCCAGCAACTGACAAGGCGGGTTCTAGACATAGTATGATCAAAAAATATGGTGACTACTTGAATTTAGCAAATTTTCACAGTCAAAGGCACTCTGCCATGAACCCCCTGAAACACCTCCCCCTATTCGTACACACTTCACCCAGTGTTCTTGCCGCTGCCTGCAGCAGCTGTGGAAGGCCGCTTCCATGCCTTTCGTTGTGCTGCTGGGCTGCCTTGATGTCCTGAATGGATTCAAAACCCTCCCCTTATATGGTCATTTTGACTTTGCCGAAGAGGCAGTGCCAGCTGTGGTGAAGGAGGAGGATGGGGACACATCGTCACTTTTCCACGAGCCTGTCTTTCTCTTGGATGGCACGTGGCGGCAGCATTCACCGTATTTTGATCACACCTCATAAAGATGCTCAAAAAGAACTTCCAGAACTGACTTAGAAAGTGGCAAGCATGATGGGATGGCTGTGTTAAAAGCAAGAGGGAGTGATCTGAGGGGGACTGATGGCAATGTGTCTGAGTGTAATATCTAAAAATTTAAATATTCACTATATATTTCTGTCACACCTTGTATTGTGCTCCTGAGACCAGAGAGGACACTGAGGCACAGAAAGGCTCAGTGACCTTGCCCAGGGTCACAGTGTCCCAACAGAAGCAGGACCAGAGCTGGGCCCTGGACTCGCCAGGGGACGGCAGCACCCCCTCCGTCCTACCTTGATGATGATCTTTTCCCGCAGCTGGCTGGGCGAGGGCAGCTGGTCAGCGCTGGCTTCCGTGGGCTTGGTCAACAGCAGGTCACCGAGCACCTCCTTGAACACCCTGGCCATGTACCGCTGCTGCTCCACGCTGCAGTGCTCCTCGATGGACAGGATCACAGGGAAGCTGCAGCAGAAGGGCAGGGGAGCTGGGGTCCAGCAGGCGCTGGCCCCATGCCCCATAGGACCGGGAAATGCCTGAGCTGGGGCACAGCCCAGAGGTAGGGGTTGTCGACCTGTCCAGGGAGGGCCACGCACCCCAGGGCTCAGCTCCCATTTACCATCTACCGGGTGCAGTGCTAAGCGCTCAGGCCAAGTCATCTCGATTAGACTGCACCACAGCACTGGTGATTAGCAGAGCCGGGTTCAAACTCGGGAGAGGGAGCCCAGTACCCATTCTGCTGGGTGCTACCAGCAGTGCCTAAAAGGCCACTGTCACTCCACAGAGGCCACAGAGAGCCCCTTGCCAGCCC